TTAATGGTTGAAATATCCACCCAAGTGATCCATCAACTCCATGTTTTCTAACACTCTGCCTTCACTACCAAAGCTTTATCCTCCATCTCACAATTCTCCTATCATTTCTAAAATGCATTTCTTCAACTATCATTATCTACCTTTCCGGTTTTCCAAGTTGACTGTAGTGTCCTCACTTCAACCCCAGACAGACAATCCATTGACCCTGGCACTTTTTTAGAGAATATAAACCGCTGATAGTCTTCCTCTAGTTTAGAGTCTAAAGACCCACTATATTCACTTGGCAAAGCTCCAGATCTAGTGAAATCCACCTCTTCACCAGTGCTTCTTCTGCACTCACACACCTGAACATGGTGCAAGAAAAACAAGCGAGGACTGGTCCCTGTTTAAATTTATGACCGCAGATCTCAAATGGGTTCTCATCACTGCCCAGGATTTTTACAGCACTTCTCTACTTAATTCACTTTCTCACTCTCCTAGAATATTTTCTGTCTTTAAACCTTAAAATTCTCATTCTCATCTAATGACCTCATTTATTATTTCACTTAGAATAATCAGAAGAGAACTACCTCATATTCTCCAAAACCAAATCCTTCAACTTCTTTGAATCTGTACATCCATACCTTCCCTTCTTTCATATTAAAATGGATGAACTAGTAAAGAATACCTTAGGCAATGTGGAAGAAGAACAAATAAAAGGACTTACATTCCAAATATCAATATTTATTATAGAGCTACAATAGTTAAGGGAATGTAGGATTGGCAGAAGAATGGACAGAGATTAATAGTGTAGAATAGACTCCAGAAACAGACCCAAATACATACCTTTTCTGGTTTATGAAAAAGATGACACTGTAGTAAAGTGGAGAAAGTATATTTTTAATAGTGTGGATTAAGTGAGTTTACATATGGAAAACAGTTTGCTTGAATCCTGATTTATACCATATTAGAAATTAATTCCAGATGAATTATAGATGTAAACAGAAAGAAAACTATAAAAATTTTTTAAAAGACCATTGTAATGATCTTGATTTAGTCAAAGAGACCTTAAATAGGACAGCAATAAAAAGATTATAAATAAGCCTACAATAAATGAAAAACCCTCTGTTCATCAAAAAACATTAAGAAAGTGAAAAAAACAAGCCACAGAATGGAAGAAGTCATTTGCAATTCAAATATCTGACAAAGGAACAGAATATAAAAACAACTACCACAAATCTATAAGGAAAAGCAATCACCTAGTGAGAACTCAGGCAAAAAATCAGATACAAGTAAATATCTAGTCCATAAAAATATGAAATATGCTCAATTTCTTCAATCACCAGGGAAATACAAACCAAACCATAATGGTATACCAGTGCATAATAACCAGAATGACTAAAATGAAAGAGATATCAACCAATGTTAGCTATGATGTGAAGCAAACAAACTTTCCATCGCTAATGACAGTATATGGTGACTAAGCCACTTTGGGTAAGTGCTGGTAAGTATCTACAAAAACTGTATATATATTTCAATTACCCAGTAATCCTGCTTTTTGATAGATACCCTAGACATATGCAAATATATTCACCAAAAATATATGCAAGTATGTTTATGGCAGCACTATTAATAATGGCCCAACACCAAAACAACCCACTTGTCATCCAACAGAATGGAAGAATAAATAGAGCATATTTATATAAAAGAACGCTATTCACTGATGAGAATAAGTGGGTTATAACTCCAGCCAACAATATGGATAAATTTTACAACAAAATGTTAAGAGAAAGAAGCCAGACATGAAAAAAATACCTTTTCTACAATTCTATTTATATGAAGTTCAAAAACAGGCAAAATTAATCTAAAGTGCTAAAAGCTGGGTTGTGATTACTCTTGGCGAGTCATAGGGGTTGTTTTTTTTTAAAAAATTAATATATCAAATCAAATATCCTATTATAAATACACATCATTTGGTTTATCTTTAGATTTGTTAAATGATCATCATGGTATTTCAAGTGGGAAACACAAAAGTATTGCCAAAGATATATATTCAGCTCAGATTGCCAGTCTTTTCAACTCTAAAGTCTGCATGAAACACATCTACATTTTGCAAAATTTATAACTCTCTTCTGAGGCCTTCATTATATTCTCTTTAAGAAGAAATGATGTCATTGCTATATGTCTTTATTTGAAAAACAATTTTTTTCAAAGGTGGGAAAATTACTTTGAAATAAATCAAATGTAGGCAGCTGCTTTCTCAATCAACCTTTGTATCTCCAGTCTAACTTTGAACACCTACAGTGTTGTTTCTCAAAGTCCAGTACAAAGAATGTCTGCATCACTCTCTCTCCTGAAATCGACTGCCACATCCACTCAACATGGGGATAACAATAATAATCACCTCATAGAACTGTTGTAAAGATTAAATGAGATAAAAATGCACTCTTGGAACACAGTAACTGCTCAGTAGATGCTAGTTTTTAATATTAATACTCAGTTTATATGAGGATCATTATTAGAATAACTGGATACGTTTGTTAAATTACTATTAATTTCTGGGTTCAACCCCAAACCACTGAAGCTGCAAGACCATACTTCAGGTACTAGCAGTCAGGCTGACTCTTTCTGCACAAATTTGAGAGTCACTGTCCAGAGATTAAGCTTACTTCTTTGCTCCTCACAGTTCCAATATAGGGATCTGTACACAGTGAATGCTTATTGACAGGCTGGCTTATGTTCAATATTGCCAGACTGATATGATGTAAATTGTTAAAGAAATTGGAATTTATCATAGGTATGTGCAGTATAAGGGAATAGATTTTTACATTTTGACTCGAGCAAAAATATAAAGGGAGGATTATTTTCTTAATAGTATCAAAAGTAGCTCCAGCTTCAATCACTTAAACTCTTCCTTCATAAATGTGACAGTCTTTGAATTCTATCATATTCCACATAACCTGTTCTTTCCCTTAATGTAATTCAGTTAATTTAGGTTTTCTATTAACTTTAGAGGATCCAGAAATCATAGAAAAGTACTCATGTAGAGGACAAATGACCATATTTTCTGGGCTTGCATTATGAATATTAGACCCAAAACTAGGCTTCTATAACCACTTTCTTTCTTACATCTGTGTTCATTTAAGGAAGGTTCCAGCAATTTGTCTAAAAGGAGAACTGAAAGTGCAAATGTCTTCAACTGTTTAATTCAAACAGAAATTTAAGTCAAATCACACTAGTTATTTGAACTTTTTTTCTATAAAAGTTACACAGCTTGTTACACGGAACAGAAAAATTTAATAAGGAGAATAAATCTTTTCCTGAAATGTTTGCATTGAAAAGACAAGAGAGTCAACCTTTGACAACAAAGAAAAATGAGAATTTATTTCCACCTTGACTTCTGCTTCATATCATTAATTAAACACCAAGATTAAAAGATAAAACCTAGATATTTTATCAGTGCAAGATAACGCTTGCTGCTGCTATTCTTTGGTGAAAAAAAAAGTCTTAAATGCTCTATTGTGAAAGATAAATTAATACCATTTAGGTATATGTTTTTCAATTACTCTTGGCTATCTGAATAAATCCAAATTCTACAAATTTAGTCGAAGAGCTTCAGAGAAGCATTTACGACAAGTTTATTTCAAAAACCAAATATAAGGATGTTTGGATTAGACATAAAGAACTTGACCCCCAGGCCATCAGATGGACTTGTTATTTTCTAGCCAACAGTCTGCTACTTTATAAATATCAAATGCCCCTGACTTTCTGATGCCACAGTTAACCTTTAGAATGACTCTGAAGTACAGTGAGTCTTCTTTACTCTCACTCTCAAGACAGGAAATGATTGCATTTTTTTTTTTTTCTGGCAGTGAGGCTAACTTCTGACAGTTTGCTAAGCAGTGGAAATCGGGTAGTAAGCAAAAGTCTCTGCAAGACAGAGATTCCTACAAAATAGTCTTTATTTTTCCAATGGATACTGGCTACTCTTATAGGAACCAATTCCAAGAACAACTTCACTGAAGCACGCCTCCCCTGAAACTGAAATCACAAGACTCATTCACTGAAACCTCTAAGGCTTTTCTTCTACCTCTGTCCAGTGGTGGCTAAACCTCTGGGTCTCCTAGTTGATCTCCATTCCACAGGCTGAATCTGGACAAGCAAACTAGTTATAGTAACCTATATTCGGACAGGATAGAGTGAAAATATGAATATGAGTGAACACCCCAATTAGGAGATTTAGCTATTTAGCGAATAACAATAATATTAAAAACAGTTTCTTAAGCATCCAAATAACCTGATTTTTCTTAGAGTTAATCAGAAAATTCCTAGACATGTGAGGTACAACTGGAAAACTTTGGATGAATTTTAACTCATACTGAGCATTTACCACTGTAATTTCTCCCATTTTGAGAACTGCCTTGGTGATTACCTATTGCCTTCCCTAATGATCTTGTAACAGAAAATTACCTATCAAAGACCCAGGCAGAGTCCCATGTACACTGGTCAGATTTTACACTGCCTTCCATATGTTTCTTTGCCCTTCTTCTCTCTGTGATTACCTGTGGCTCTGATTAGTCAATTCTAGATTTACAAATAAACCAAGAGTCCAGAACAATTTCGGTCTGTTTCTCTTATCAGTGATGGTGACCAGAAACTCCCAACACCTGAAACAAAATCTGAGCAAGCCCAAAAGCCAAAATCCATTTAGAAAAGAACACTTCCGGAGATCTCTGGTTGGTAGGTGGGAGTTTATAAGTTCTGATCTCATTTTAAAACTCTGAACACACTTCACAGCAGGCTCTGAGAGTAAGGAAAATGAGACTAATCTAGTGAGGAGACTTTCAGATCATCAACAGGACATCCATTTTTATACCCACCACAGCTAAATGCATTTTACCCATCCATTCATGCACTCATTCATTCACTTAGTTTCCCATATTTACTGCAACTCCATTAAGTTAGGATCTGCATCTTAATCAACTGCTTAAGATATCTGCAAAGAATAAAGGAACACTTACTTTCCAGTAATAAACTGACTCCTGGACGGTGTGCAAATAGGCTGGACATAGTAGTTCTCCAGTTTAACTCCTTCGGCAGCAAGCTTGTCAAGAGTGGGAGTCTTTATCTCTGATCCATGGTAACCCACATCTCTAAATCCCTGATCATCCGCTAGGATGAAAATGAGATGGGGCTGGGACACGGCGGTTACGCTGGGCTCCAGTCTCTCTCCAGTTTGAGCTCGCAAAGCCCCTTCTTCCTCCTCCTCCAAGCCCTGGCCCCAGGACAGGTAACCGTAAGTGAGGAGGCTGAGAACCCAGAAGCCTGCCAGCGCCCCCATGGCTAGCATCTTTCTGGGCCAGACCCAGGTCTGTGGAGAAGGTGGCGGAGGCTGAGGCCCCGCGCAGCCCCTGGGGGCCATTCACTCTGGTCCCAGCTGAGACTCCAAAGCAGAGCAACGCACCCCGCGCCGCCGCTGGCGCACACATGCACGCAGGAGGAACAGACTCTACAGGCGGTGGAGGGGCTCCACCTGGAAAGAAGTCCTGTTCTCCTCTCGGCTGTCCCCACGTCCAACAACTTTAATCTTCTAGAAGTGGTGGCTTAAGGGATGGGACGTGTGGGAAAACAAGGAGTCGCTTTTCTCCATCAAATTGCACTCCCCCCCGCCTCGCTCCCCAAAGTAGCTTCCACACACAAAAAATCAAAGCCTCCACCCAAAAGTTCCCAAGAGGAAAACAAAAAAATCAAGTAAGGAACTGAGAATCACCTTGGGCAGGAACTACTCGTGGCCAGAACTTTTCGCCCTCGAGGTTGAGGAGTTGAGGAGGGTCTTGAGGAGTTGAGAGGCGCGCGCACTGATGGATGTGGGATCGGCCGTCGGTCTAGCAGTCCCCTCAGCTGGAATGTGCTGGGAAGCTGAAGCGCCGACAAAAAGCACCAACCCAGGCAGATAAGGAGCTGCAGGCAGTGAACCGGCTTCCGGATCACTTTCTCCACTCTTTCAGGGCTCACTGTTGCTCTTTCCTCTCCCAGGCGCTTGCCAATCTCCCAGACACTCGCCAGGCGGCCAGAGGAGAGAAAAAAAAAAAAAAGAAAAGAAAACCCTTAACAGATCTCCCTCCACCGTTGACCGCCCCTTCTTTGTAGGAACGTCTCCTCGGCCCTGGAGCGCACGGGGACGCAAATCGGTCCCCGACCCCGCGCCTGCCCCGCGCCAAGCCCCTTGGTCCCCGCTGGGTTGGCGCACCCGCGGAAGCGCTGCAAGCTGCGTGCGTTGATCAGCGAACCAACTTAGTTTTGGCACTCGGAGTTCTTTGCTGCCTCCACCCTCTTCTCTCTCCACTGAATCACAGAACCGTACGTTCTGCTTCAGCTCCCCCAGGAAGAGGGGGAGGGGTGAAGTCGGTTTAGAGGTTCGATCTTGCCTTTTTCCCTTCCGGGAGGAGGATGGACGAGGTAGGGGAGGCTTTGCCAGAGGGACAGTGCTGCTCGCTGCTTGAGCCCTGCGGGCTCCTGGGCTGCAGCTGCCCTGAGTCTCCAGGAGGACTGCCTTCCATCCCCCCGAGAGGGGAAGACGGCTGCGGGAATGGGGAAGAGGGAAGCGGGCGCTTTTCCTCCAGGGTCTGCAGATCAACATCCCGCTCACCCATCCCGAATGCTGCGCCTGCAAACTTTTCCTAGCTTCTGGGAGTGAGAAAGGAAGAGCAGGAGAAACAACGAAGTGCGCAGATAACACTCTTTTCTGGTTTTCCTTTACTCGCCTCCCCCTCCCCCAATTTTTCCTACTTCTTTTATCCCCGCCTCTCTCTCTCTATTTTTTTTTTCCAAACAGTCGCGACTACAAGTTGAATATCTTTTGGCTATTGCTGGCCTTTACAGTCTGACTTCCTGATTAGCGTCTCTCTACGTGAAGATACTGAAATCGCCTTCTCCTTCCATCTCCCCAAAATTACCCACAGCTATCTCCAACCAAGAACTTGGAAAGGAAGAAGAGTTGCAAGTTTCACCCCCAGGAACCACGAGGCTGGTCTGCACTCCTGCAGTAAAGAAACCACCATTTCCCATCTAGAAATCCGGGGAACTCTGCCCCCTCCCCCCTCCCCGCCTTTTTTATAACTGTGGAGTAAAACAAAAGCTTGTCTTGATTGTGAAGATACTCCTGCTTTTACTAGAATCGTGTTTTTAAAGCCCTGCTCCAAGACAGGAAGGGGATTTATAGTATCTAATGGGGAGGCAATCAATTCCAGGAGCCACTGAGACATACTTTCCCCCTCCCCAAAGTTATTTGTTGGGCACCTACTATGTGCTGGCACATAAAATGTCAGATTCTCTTTGTTTCCTAGATATAAATCTGTTTTACTTAGCTATTTCTTTATTTTTATGTACTTATTTATTAATTTTATTGAAGTATAATTGATTTACAGTGTTATATTCCGTCATGTTGCTAAAGTTCTTGTTACGTTTCTAGGCAAAATGTGTAAAATGGAAACTTAACACCTTTGAAACTTGGTGTGCTCCATGCAGTTAATTTTGCTAACACGTGTAGCCTTTCACTAGGCTGTTCTCTTCTCTGAGGCCACTCTGGTTAGTCTGTGGAGAGATGGGCAGTTTTAGGAGACTGCTTGGGAATGTGACCTTAGCAAGTCTTACATAAATCACCAAATATGTAATGAGAGGACTGAGTCTTGGGAGGCTGAAAGCACTGTGAGCTGATACTCCTGGCTCTGTGGGCCTCATCAGGTGCTTCAGCAGAAAAGAGGCAAATGAACATTCAGGTCAATCCACTACTTTTAGTTGGGGAGAGTCAGTGATATAACACAAGAAGTGTCTATGTTGCTACTGCAAGAGGAAGGGCTATTTTCAGTTCAGATTTCAAGCAAGAGTAAATAAATGTTCAGTTCAGTTCAGTTCAGTCTCTCAGTTGTGTCCAACTCTTTGCAACCCCATGAACTGCAGCACGCCAGGACTCCCTGTCTATCACCAACTCCCGGAGTCTGCCCAAACCCACGTCCATTGAGTCGGTGATGCCATCCAACAATCTCATCCTCTGTCATCCCCTTCTCCTCCTGCCCTCAATCTTTCCCAGCATCAGGGTCTTTTCAAATGAGTCAGCTCTTCACATCAGGTGGCCAAAGTATTGGAGTTTCAGCTTCAACATCAGTCCTTCCAATGAACACCCAGGATTTATCTCCTTTAGGATGGACTGGCTTGATCTCCTTGCAGTCCAAGGGACTCTCAAGAGTCTTCTCCAACACCCACAGTTCAAAAGCATCAATTCTCTGGCACTCAGCTTTCTTTATCGTCCAACTCTCACATCCATACATGACTACTGGAAAAACCATAGCCTCGACTAGATGGACCTTTTACCAAATACCATGTACTGACTATAGTACTCTATGTACTGATAAATACATACAAACACATGCTCTAAATATTTATATAGTGTTTTATACTATTTACCTCCTCTCCTTCTCCACCAACCTTATAAGGAATTTACCCATTCAACAAGTATTTGAGGAGTTAGGCCAGTGCTACAGGCTGGAAACATAATGGTGAACTAAGTCTGGCATAGCTTTTATTCTGAAAAGTGTTAGTCAGTCATGTCTGACTCTTTGCAGCCCCGTGGACTGTGGCACGCCAGGTTTCTCTGTCCGTGGAATTCTCCAGGCAAGAATACTGGAGTGGGTAACCATTCCCTTCTCCAGGGATCTTCCCAACCCAGGGATCAAACCCAGGTCTTCTGCATTGCAGGCAGATTCTTTACTCTCTGAATCACCAGAGAAGCCCCACGTGAAAGTGTTAGTCACTCCTATCTGACACTTCGCGACCCCGTGGACTGCACTGCAGCCTGCCAGGCCTCTGCTCTAGTGGAACTTAAATTGTGGTGGGGAAGAAATATACTGATAAACTAATCATCACCAAACTCTAATGCCTATTATTCTGTGGTATTCTGTATAGCTATTCAGATAAGTATTCAAAAGTGAAGAAACAATTCAAAGAAATTTTAAACGAAAGAAAGGTGCCTTAGACTGGGTGTGGTTAGTGAGTAGGGTGGTACAAGAAATGACCTTCAAATTGAAGGAGATGTTATTTTGCTTGTTATCCCCTTTATGCAAGAAATTTAGACTTAGAAATCTGTCTGACTTCAAGATCCATGTTTTTCAAAAGATATTCTTCCCACAAGTGGCTTTAAGATGTTTTCCAGCCACACAGCACAGAACACAGCTGCTAGAGTTGGAGAATTCTAATTCCCACACAAGGCATGCAGACAATCCACACGTAGGATGGAAAGGCAGAACTCAGCCCTAAAAAAGCCACTTCTGGAATAAACAGAACACAAAAGGAGACTAAGAACTATCTACAATTAGTAGTAAGAGCCAAGAAACAAGAATGGTCATGCCATGGCAGACCAAATGAGATGTGACTTGAAGGATAAAATCCATCAGTTGAGTGCCCTACCCACAGTAGGGAATAGGTAAGGGTTATACCCACATCCATAAGGAAGACTTGAGAATAAAATCAGAAGCAGTTGAATGGTCTAGCCTTTATTGTACCTCTACTGATATTTTAAGTACATAAACTTCACATTTCTAATTATAGGCTTGGGTTTCATGCACTCTAAGCAATAGTTCTGACATTCTCATGAAATCCAAAGTTAAAGACCCCCAGTAACTTCTAGTTCTTTTCTGAGCTGGCATTTTGGTGTTCAGGCATCAGCTTCCCTATGGAATCACATCTTAGGTTTATTTTGGCTTGGATATGGTCACATTGCAAATATACTCCTCTAGTTATATATGATTATATAAATCATATATAAAATATAAAATTATATAAATTATATAAATGATTATATAAAAACTAAAGGTATTATTTGATTCAGTTTAAAAGATGAGAAAAGCAGGATTGTTTAGAGATAAAATTAGTATGAATTGATTATTCATGCAAAACTTAATCAGGAGGTGGGACTAAAGCTATGTCTTAAAGTATGATGGAAATTTGGGAAGGAAAAGAAGAAGTTCAAGGAAGGACATTTAAGAGAAAAGAGAATACCAACTGGCTGAGACACATGGACTGGAGGAGTTTGGGAAATAATGTTAGAAAGTTCAGGTGACACCAGATATTGAAGAGCTTTGAAAAGGTGTGAAGGGCTGGAACTTGATTCCAGGGGCATCAGGAGTGATGAGGTCCTTTAAATAGGACATAGCATAATAATATATTCTATTAAATCTTACTGAGGTTATTTCTTGGATTTATAGAGACAGACTACAAATGAATTGCCTCAGTTGATAAAAGTTTGAAGAATTGTAGTTTCACCCTGAGAGTACCGAGATTGAAGATTTTTGTTTTGGAGAAGACATGATGAAAAACATAGGAAAAGAAATCCCAGGATGTTTTTAGGGAGAGATTTTAGGGAGTAAAGCCTAGAGTCACACAACTGTCTCAATGGGTAAAATTTCTACAGTAATATATTCCTTAGGGTAAAGAACTATGCTATGGCTATGTCCTCTGACACCATTTTCTCCTTCTGAGGAGGAAGATGAGGTGGCTGGATGGCATCACTGATACAATGGATACGAACTTGAACAAAATTCGGGAGATGGGGAGGGACAGAGAGGCCTGGCATGCTGCAGTCTATGGGGTCACAAAGAGTTGGACACGACTGGGCAACTGAATAACAAATGGCTATGTCATCTGATGGAAGATAGCATTCATTCAAAGTTTAGAAGGAGTAAGTAAATCAAGAAGAACGCAAGGGACAAAGGAATAAGAGACACAGATATGACTTCATTTAATTGGCTAATGTTAATGGAAAAGATAAGCAGGGTAAACTGGCAGGATCCTCATTACCAGAGAGGGGAGCTCAGAATAAGGTACCACAGTGTGGCCCGGGGCTCCTCAGTGGACATACCAAGGATATTGGCTGGTCAGGGGTGAAGGGTGGAATGAAGAAGTGGATATGAGGAGCCTTTATGTAAATAGAGAAGCTAAGAAAGCCACAGATGAGCAGAAAAATGGGGAGTTGCACCAGGATATTTTTGAAATACTTATATCGCTTCTCATCACAAATATGACATTTTCTGTAGCCTCCCCAGTATGGATGGACAGAATTGCCCTAACTTGCAAACCACATACCCCTAAACAAGATTTTGTTTTGTTTTGTCTTTGCCTAGTAAGATAGCATGCCTGTTAATGCTA